TGGATAGTTGGGAAGTCACCCCATTTAGCATCTGCAAACACAATTCTTCAAATAAGGGAAAAAAATAGGGCTTCTTGATTATTATTTTTAATTGCCAAAAAATGTCACTGATCCAGTTAAAAATATAGAGTTTAAAAAGAAATTTAAAAAAAGAGTCTTCCTATTTCTGCAGCCGACTCCATGTTTGACCCTGGGAAGGTCATGTCACTGCTCAGTGCCTCAGTTTCCCCAGGGATAATAATATGCAACTATTTGATAAGGTGTGATGAGGCTAATTTCATTAAAGGTTGTAGAAAAATCCTTGGCTAGAAGATGATATAGAACAGGAACATCTAGCTCTTATCTAGCACTTTTCATCAGCAGATCTCAAAACACTTTACCAAGGTGATCAGTACTTTACAGATGGGAAAACTGAGGCACGGAGATGTAAAGTGTCTTGCCCAGGGTCACCCAGCAGGGCAGTGGTTGAACTGGGAACAGACCCAAGTCTCCTGAGTCCCAGCCCAGTGCTCTAGCCCCTAGATTGAGTCCATACATTGTCCAGCCAAGCGCCACCTTCTCAGGAGATCTGTGTCTGCATCTACTTAGCTTTTCCGACTGCCTCTTTGGGCAAACGGAAAGTTGGGAACCCTTAGGAAAGGGACAGATAAGATAGAAAATACCATATCGCCTCTGTATAAACCCATGGCACACCCACACCTTGAACACTGTGCAGATGGGGTTGCCCTATCTCAGAAAAGATATACTGGAATTGGAAAAGGTTCTGAAAAGGGCAACAAAAAAGATTAGGGGCATGGAACAGCTTCCATATGAGGAGAGATGAATAAGACTGGGATTTTTCAGCATGGAAAAGAGACAACTAAGAGGAGATAGTTGGGTGAAATGCCTGCAAGCTGCATGGAGACCATTTAAAAACACCGTAATGGAGGCCCAAACTAAATGTATACCCCAAACACACAAACAGTAAGAGGACCACACACAAAAAAAAAAAAAAAGCCACCATCGCTAAACAGGAAAGTAAAATAGGTGGTTCGACACAGAGAGGCCTCCTTTCAAAATCGGAAGTCAAATCCTACTGAGGGAAACAGAGGAGCATAGACTCTGCCACGGGTAAAGCTGTACTTAGGCCGGCCAAAAAAGAATTTGAAGATCAACTAGCAAAAGACTCAAAAACTAACAGCCATTTTTTTTAAAGCGCATCAAACCAGACAGCTGGCCCACAATGAGCGGGGGCACTGAACGCTCGAGCTGCTAAAGAAGCACGCCAGGAAAATAAGGCCTTTGCAGAGAAGCAAAATGAATTTTTTGCATCGGTTGTCACGGCTGAGGATGTGAGGGAGGTTCCACACCTGAGCCATCCTTTTTAGGTGACAAATGTCAGGAATTGTCCCAGATTGAGGAGTCAATAGAGGCAGGTTTGGAACAAATTGATATATTAAATAGTAATAAGTAAGGCTGTCACAGAGCTGGAGGTCATGGATTCTATGATTTTCCGGGACCTCCATGACTTCTGCAGGGGCCAGTGCGACTGACCCCAGGACCACTGGAGAGGCTTGGGCAGTCCTGGAGTCAGCCACTCTGGCTGCTGCTGGGGCAGTCTTGGGCCCCTCTGCCCCGCAAATAGCAGCAGCAGTCTCGGGCTGCCCTGCTTCCCTCCCCCCCCAACACACACACCTTCCCCCTCACCCCCACCACCAGCCCAGGACCAACCCCTCTGCCCCATGGCACCTGCAGCAGTCCCCAAGGCACCCTCCCCCCCACCAAAGAGCACTCCGAGTCACCCCGCTCCAGAGCGCCCATGGCAGTCCCTGAGGCGCCGCCCTGCCCATGATTTAGTCAAGTGTATATAGTACAAGTCACAGACAGGTCACAAGCTGTGAATTTTTGTTTACTGCCCATGATCTATCCATGACTTTTACTAAAAATACCTGTGACTAAAACATAGCCTTAGTAATAAGTCACCAGGATGGTATTCACCCAAGAGTTCTGAAGCAACTCAGATATGAAGCTACAGAACTATTAACCGTAGTACACTACTGATCGCTTACATTTGCCTCTGTATCAGATGACTGGAAGACAGCTAAGGTGATCCTGGCAATTACAGGCCAATAAGCCTAACTTCAGTACCAGGAAAATTGGTTGAAACCAAAGTAAAGAACAGAACTGACAGACACATAGATGAACACCATTTGTTGGGGAAGAATAAACATGGCTTTTGTAAAAGAAAATCATGCCTCACCAATCTATTAGGATACTTTTGGGGTGTCAACAAGCACGTGGACAAGGGTGATCCAGAGACTATAGTATACTTGGACTTTCAGAAAGCCTTTGACACGGTCCCTCACCACAGGCTCTTAAGCAAAGTGAACAGTCATGGGATAAGAGGGAAGGTTCTCCCATGGATCAGTAACTGGTTAAAAGATAGGAAACAAAGAGTAGGAAACAAAAGGATCTCACAAAACTTCTTGCCTCTGACAAGCATTCCTCCATCGACCTAGCTGTATCTACACCAGGGGGTTAGGTCACTGTAACTACGATGCTCAGGGGGATGGATTTTCCACACCCTTGAGCACTGTAGCTACGTCAACCTAAGTGTTTACCATAAGCCAGGTCTAGGACACAGCTAAGCTGGGCCTAGGGGCTGCTGCTGTCTGCAAAGGGATGACGTGCGCTCACAGGAGCAACTGTGCAGCCCCATTGTCTGCTAATACTCTCGGTCATGCCCCACTGCTGCCAAAGCATCTGCACAGAGGGCAACTGGTAACAGGATGACTGAAAAGAAGGAGTAGGGTCCAACTATGGCACTCTGTACCTCAAAGCAGCACCCTGGAACCCCCATATTCACCCCTATCATATAACTTTAATATATTTCATACAAAGCACATCAAGCAGGATATCGTATGAAAGGTCATGATCTGCTAAAACCCATTGTTCTGTCAAAATACATATATCGTTAGTATGTATCAAGTTCATATATCGTTGGGTGCATCAAGTTCTGAGATTTTGCTGTACGGTTGATACGGAAATATGCTGCAAGTTTGCTAGAGGTATATGAAGGAGGTGATCCCCGCCCAGAGGAGGATGTTCAACAACCATTAATCAGCAGGGGAATTGTAAATAAGGGATTTACAATTCAACAACAGTTGCACAAGACCACAGCAAGCGGACTGCTCAACCCTGTGACTCAACAAAGCCCACCAGGACATGTCTGGGCTAGTATTTTCCAGGCACATGGACTGAGGGTATAAAATAAGGGACAGTGACATCGTGCCTTGGCCTTTCTCCTCCCCCACCTACGCTGGAAGCAACAAGAACACTGAGAAGACAAACATTTCATCTGACGAGACTGGTCCAGGCTTAAGGGAGAGGCCCATGTATTAAGAACTGTAACATCCAGTGGGGTAAGAAAACTGCTTGATCTAAATGCTGCCTAGTGTAATAAGGTTTAAGATTTAGATTGTGCACTTATCTTTTATTTTCTTAAGGTAACTATCTCTGACCTTTTATGCCTCCCACTTATAATCACTTACAATCCATCTTTCTGTAGTTAATATAAAACAGATTTATTTTACCAAAAACAGGGTGTTTTGGTTGAAGTGCTTGGGAAATCTCAGCTCAGGTTACAAAGACTAGTGCAAGACCTCTCCACATTGAGGGAGGGGCAGACTGGGTAACAAACTTACACTGGCCAGGCTTCTGACCAGGGCAAGAGGGTACAGCTCTGGGGTGTAAGGCTCAGGAGCTGAGGGGAACTGGCTGGTGCCTTTCTTTGTGTGATTTGCGAGTCGCTCTGGGAGCATTCATGCAATCTAGCTGGGTGGGGGCTCAACATGCGGCTGTGCTGAGTGATCACAGCGCCTGGAGGGGTTTGCTGCTTGCCACTAGCAAAGCAATGTGAAAGACAGTTGTGGCTGGAGAGTTAAGGGGGCACAGCACGACCCCAGTCCCAGGTTGCACCCTGGGGATCCCAACGCCCCGCCCAGAGCTGTATAAGCTCAGCCATGACCAAGACTGTGATATCTCCACCCAAACAGAGCCAGAAATAGAAGACATTGGACAGCACGGGCCTGGCATGCATCAAATGCCCAAGAGGTGCCAGGCTTGGGTACACGGACATTGAAACCCAGGGGCAAGTCAAACATCTCCCCGCACATTTGGAAGAACAGAGGCCAACTCTGCCCATCTCCAACAAGTTCCAGCATCCAAAGCTAGAAGCGAGCTACTGCTGAGCCTAGGGGCCTGACCTCCTACTGATGCAACATGGCCCCCACGTAACAGAATAACCGAAACACAAATTAACTGAGTAACAACAGCCCCTCTCGCCAGGGCCGGGTCCGCTCCTCTGCGGGCAACGCCCTGCAAAGCTAAAGGGCCGACAGGGAGGCCAAGTCCCTTGGCTGGGTTTTAACCAGGACCCCTGGTGGGTCATCGCAACCCTCCTGGGGGGGTCTCGCCCACCACTGGTGGATGGTGAGAGTGACTCTAGTCCCTGCCCCAATCCCCACCCTCAATCCCAGCCCCCCAGGACCACCCAGCCCCGCCCCCCAACCCTCCAAGCCCCACCAGCTCAGCCCCCCCGCACCGCCCAGCCCCCCAAGCCCCGCCCCCCCGCACCCCGCCAGCCCAGCCCCAGTCCCCTACCCCCAAGCCCCGCCAGCCCAGCCCCCCCGCCCCGCCCAGCCCCGCCCCCCAGCCCTCCAAGCCCCGCCCCGCCCAGCCCCCCAAGCCCAGTCCTCTGCCCCCAAGCCCCCCCAGCCCAGCCCAGCCCCCCCGCACCGCCCAGCCCCCCAAGCCCCGCCCCCCGCACCCCGCCAGCCCAGCCCCAGTCCCCTACCCCCAAGCCCCGCCCCCCCCCAGCCCCCCAAGCCCCGCCCCCCCCGCACCGCCCAGCCCAGCCCCCCCAAGCCCAGTCCTCTGCCCCCAAGCCCCCCCAGCCCAGCGCCCCACCCTGCATCCCTACGGCTCCGCAGGAGGCGGCGCTGCCCCCGCCCGCGGCTCACCCGCTCCCCGGCGCCGCTTCCCCCGTTCGCACCGTCCGCAGCCGAGCCGAGTCGCGGCATGGAAGGGGCGTGGCTAAATTCGAATTCTCCCTCCTGGACGTCACAATAACAACGTTACCGCCCAGCCCGCTGATTGGTGGCCCCGCCCCCAGCCTGTTTCAGACCCGAGCGTTCATTGGCCACTCGGCCCCAAGCGGGTCAGGAACTCGGCGCCCCCGCCCTAAGAGAGGAGGGAGCGGTTTGGCTGTGACGCAGGAAGTGCGTAACACGCTGCTGTTCCCCCCGGCGGAGTGTTTCCGGCGTGGGAGCAGCATGGCCGCGGTGCCCCCCGACTCCTGGCAGCCGCCCGCTGTCTCCATGGAGACCACGTAAGAGGCCGATGGGAGCCCCCGTTCTCCCGGCGCGGCGCGGGGCGCCCGGGTCTCTCCGCTCGGCCCAGCGGGCGGGTCCCGGGCCCCGCGCGGCGCCTCGCAGGCTGGCCGCCGGAGGGGGCCGCGTCCGGGGTCAGAGCAGGGCCCGTGCCCGTCCCCGCCGGCCTCTGGCGGGGGCAGCTGCGGGGTGTCCCGCGTGGGGAGCCCCCCCGGAGCCCGGCGGCGGGGCCGTGTCCGCCCGGGGGTGATCCCCGCGCCGGGGCGGGGGCGAGTCCCCGGGCTCTGAGGGCGGCCCCGCAGGGCGGCCGGGCTCCCAGGGCCTGCCGGTGGGTCGGGTCGCCGCTCCGCAGCTCCCGGCGCTGGGCAGCCCCTGAGCCCTGTCGGTCTCCCCCCCCCTCCCTCCCGCAGCATGGGCACCCTGGCGCTGGAGCTCTACTGGAAACACGCGCCCAAGACCTGTAAGAACTTCGCGGAATTAGCCAGGCGCGGTTATTACAACGGCACAAAGTTCCACAGGATCATTAAAGACTTCATGATCCAAGGGGGCGATCCCACCGGCACAGGTAAGGCGCCCAGTGGAAACGGCTGGGCTGGGTACCCGCTGGGAGCCCCGTCGGCGCTTCACGGGCGCAGGGCGCGCGAGTGTCTGTGGGAGCGAAAGCCCCTTGTTAGGGGGCGCGAGCAGACCTCAAGGAAGCCTGTGTGTAATCCTCGCATGTGGTGACACTTCCCGCTCCCGCCTGTGCCCTCGCCTGTGGCCCCCAGGGCTGTCCATCCCAGGGAGGCCAGAGGGCTGAACGAGGTGGAAAGCAAAGAGGAAGGATGGCCCAGTGTTCAGGACACTAATATGAGACTTGGGGAAACCCAGGTTCAATTCCCTGCACCCATAAAGATTTCTTGTATGACACCAACCAAGTCACTTAGGTTGTCAGCCTACACTTAAGGCTACATGTAGAGTACAGATACAGTACGTCCAGCTAGCCTGGGTATAAACAGGAGTGTAGATGGTGAGGCACAGCTTAGGCAAGTAGAGTAGAGTGTCTGACGTGCCTGAAGCCCCAGGGCATAAACCCTACATGCTGTCTAAATCCCCAAGCAGGGCCTCCCACCTTGACACTGGTATTTTCAGCCCTGTCGTGTCCTGCTGCTGCCTCCCATTGCCAGAGTCTTTCCCCATTGCAGTGAAAGATTCCAGCAGCGGAGAAAAGGCTTTGTTGGGGGGAGGCAGTGGGGAAAAGGCTCTGGCAGGGAGGAGCTGCTGGAGCCTTTCCCTGCTGCCAGAGCCTTTCAGTGTAGTGTGCAACTCGATGTGTCATGCCTATACTCTACACCAGGGGTCTGCAACCTTTCAGAAGTGGTGTGCCGAGTCTTCATTTATTCACTGTAATTTAAGGTTTTGCGTGCCAGTAATAAGAATCCATGTGATCCATGCTGAGCTGCTCCCACTCTTGGCCCTGTCTGCACCCTTCACTGCCCCTGGCTGGGGCCAGAGGGCCACACCTGGGGCCGGGAGCAGAGCCCCGGGCCGGCGGCCGGAAGCAGAGCCCCGGGCTGGCGGCCGGGACCTGGCGTCGTCAAGAGGCTGAGCAGGGCCGGTGGCTGGGACCCCAGGCCAGCAGCAGAGCCCCCCGGACCGGTGGCCGGGACCCGGGGCTGGCGGTGGGCTGAGTGGGGCCGGTGGCCGGAACCCCAGCTGGCAGGGGGCTGGCGGCCGGTACTCCAGGCCAGCAGCAGAGCCCCCTGGACCTGGGCCCAGCTGTGGGCTGAGGGGGCCGGCAGACGGAACCCCGGCTGGCAGCAGAGGCCCTGGGACCGGTGGCCGTGACCTGGGGCTGGCAGCAGGCTGAGCGGGGCCGGCAGACGGAACCCCAGGCCAGCAGCAGAGCCCCTGGGACTGGTGGCCGTGACCTGGGGCTGGCAGCAGGCTGAGCGGGGCTGGTGGACGGAACTCTGGCTGGCAGAGGGCCAGCAGCTGGTACCTCAGGCCAACAGTGGAGCCCCTGGGACTGGTGGTCAGGACCCAGGGAGTGTGAGAGCACGCAAGCTGACTTTCAGTGGCAATCTTTGGCACGTGTGCCATAGGTTGCCTACCCCTGCTCCACATGCTACCATTAGCGTAGATATAGCCTTAGTTGTTCTGGGTCTCAGTTCCCCATCTGTAAAATGTAACTAATAGTACAGCCCTACCTCCCGGAGGGTGTGAGGTTAAATATATTACAGATTGTGAGATGCTTCGATTCTATGGCCATCGGAGCCTTATTAGATACGTTACCTGGAAGCAGCGTAAGTGCCCAGTGGCAATGTGAAAGCGGCAGCGGCCTCTAACCACAGTGGTCCCAGTTTCTAGACTTGCAGGTTCCTACAACATGAGTACTACTCTGTTCTTATTGAGACAGTAAATATCAGAATGCCACAATATAAATCCATGGTACACCCAGTCCTTGAACAGTGCAATGCAGCTCTGGTCGCCCCATCTTAAAAAAGATACATTAGAAAGGCAACAGAAACGATGAGGGGCACGGAACAGCTTCTGTGTGAGGAGAGATTAAAAAGACTGGGACTGTTCAGCGTGGAGAAGAGACGACGCGGGGCCTGTGATCGAGGTCTGCACCATCACGACGGGGGTGGAGAGAGTGACCAGGGGTGTGTTGTTTACCCCTTCACATGACATAAGAACCAGGGGTCACCTGATAAACCTGCTGCCTGTTAATTTCAAGACAAACAAAAGGAAGTAGTCCTTCACACAACGCACAGTCAGCCTGTGGAACTTGTTGCCAGGGAATGTTGTGAAGGCCAAAAGTATAACAGGATTCAAAAAAGAATTAGATCAGTTCATGGAGAACAGGTTCTTCAATGGCTATTAGCCAAGATGGGCTCTTGTTATCTCTAAACCTCTGACTGCCAGACACGGGGACTGGATGATGGGATGGATCACTTGATAATTGCCCTGTTCTGTTCATTCCCTCTGAAGCATCTGGCACCAGCCACTGTTGGAAGACAGGATACTGGGCTAGATGGCCCATTAGTCTCATCCAGTCTGGCTGTTTGTATGTTCTTAGTCATTGGCCACCCCACTGTTCCTGTGCTGGCTGATAATTTATGCATGTCTGTCTCCCTAGTCTTTATTGCTGAGCATCACACGTCGGCAATAGAATTGATCAAAGCCCATTTCTTAGACTGTTGGCTGGCACTTGTATGACGGTGAGAGTAGTTCTGAATGGGTACCATGGCTTTCCGAACTGACATATCTGCTTTTCTCTGCTGGGCAGGCAGAGGGGGTGCATCCATCTATGGGAAGCAGTTTGAAGATGAACTTCATCCAGAACTAAAATTTACAGGTAAGTGCCATTTGATGGACTTGTGTGGGTGTTTTTGTTTTGTTAACCTTGCAGGTTGGGCATAGCACCAATTTAGGGCTCAGTCCCACTGTCCTTATGCAGAAGTCATTGGGAGTCTGGGTAGAGTGAGGGCTGCAGGGTTGGTAGCTCTTAATGACAAATTAAGCATTAAAGAGACTGTTGGCAGGAAATGAAAAAGTAACTACTAACTAGGGTCGCCATGCGGACAAATAAACAGTAACATGGTAGCCTCTCCTCTTTAAACGAATGGAATCAAGGAGCTATGACCCCTAAGCCTGCAGAGTTAATGCTGCAGCTGTCCTGTTTTCAGCTAAGTAGTCTCTTCCCAAGAATAGTTAATCAGTGGTCTAACATCAGCAGAACTCCTTGTGCTAAATCACAAATCCCGAGGGCTGAATGATATGTTTGCCTCCTTAAAATTATTTCTGTGAATTAAGGCAAAGGTTGGCTGGGTTGTTACAAACACAATGTTCCGAATTCGGCTGGGAGTGCAGTGTGGCGATAGGCTTCCTGTGTAGCACAGCTAAACTGTTCTTATATTATAATTCAGCTCTTAAAGACCTCAAATGCGAGGGCTCTTGGGCCCCCTTCTGTTGTTTATACAGGAGTTACAATGCACTGGAGTCCGTATGGAAACAAATCACAGTATGGGAGTCTCACTTAATCAAAATTACCCTAGCTGAGCACACAAAGGATGTTTAACAGGAGTAGAGAGTAACTGTAAGAAGCTTTTTGCTGTATTTAAATTCATGTTTGATTCTGGTAATTAAGCCATGTGACTGGATCCTTAGTTGCTACCAGAAGTAATTGGCTTAGGAAGAGTCTGATCTGTTTTTTTGGGTTTGGTTTGGTTTTTAACTGAAACTGGCTTCAGATTATCAGTCTAAGGGCAGGTTACTAACTCGTACCCTTTCTTTCAAAGGTGCAGGAATCCTTGCCATGGCTAACGCCGGCCCAGACACAAATGGCAGTCAGTTCTTTATAACCTTGGCACCAACCCAATGGCTCGATGGGAAGCACACTATCTTTGGCCGTGTTTGCCAGGGGATCGGGATGGTGAACAGAGTGGGCATGGTGGAGACAAATGCCCAAGATCGCCCAGTCGATGATGTGAAGATTCTGAAGGCTTACCCATCGGGTTAGACCAGAGTTCTCTGCAGTTAATGTGTTGGCCACTCCCATGTGTTAAATCCTTTATCCCCCATGGGATTGTCCTGTCATTCCAGGGAATGCAAGCCAGTGGCTTAGGCCCAACGTTTACCTGCTTTACAATCTATTTGAGGCAAAGCTTTTGTTCTCTTTTTTTTTTTAAGTAAAGTGGATTTAAAAATATCTACAATTAGTTTGCCCAGGAACTAAAGTGAACCGGATTCTTTTTGAGAGTGCTAGCAGTGCTGTTTCCCTGAGCTGCCTCCTGCCATGCTGGGGAAAGGGTCTCTTGTCAAAACCTCGTGGCCTGAAATCACCCCTGCTGAGCCCTGTTTTGGTTGGTATGCCCAGGGTGCAAGTACCCACCATGCCACCCCTCTGCTGTCTGTTCTGGGAACTGTCTCATGCAAAGGCCCCACAGAGCACATGGCTGGC